CCATGCCCCTAGACCTAAGCAGCTTTTCTTCGCCGTTCACACTACATTAAAAACTTCGCAGTAATCTCAAGCGGAATGGGACACGACATTCGTGACTTGCGCGCTGCAGGGTGTCACGACGTGTGCGACGTCGTGCATGCAAATGACGTTGTCCCTAGATCACAAGCGGGGACAATCGATAGGTATAACGAAAAATAACCACGAATGTCCACGTTGTCGTATCTATCTGAAAGCCGTGACAAAGTCAACAGATTAAAAACTACGGGAGCGCCGCGCCCATCACAGCCTGCAGAAATCTCTCTCTCTTTTCGCTTCATAATTGCTTAGCAAATGAATCGATTAGAGCGTCAGGAACGGTCGTCCATTTGTGGGCGGGCGGGCGTGGCGGGCGTTTGGGTCGGTATGTTGTGGCTTGATAGGGCCCTTATAAGGGCACCTCCCTTGGAAAAGGCATTATGCAGCGCCTGCTCAGGGTCGCGGAATTCCGTCCTGCCAGGCGTATTAATCCTACTCGTCTTTTGGGATTTATCGTGCCAACTGCCTTTAAAAGTATTGGACGCACCGCACCAAATTGTCCCAGCCAATATTACACAGGCGCCAAGGTCACTTGCATTTCCTTTTCATGCAGTGGCACTCAGTGCGCCATTTGCTCGCTCAACCCACCCTCGTTTCTATAGTTAAACCCAAATCAAGCAATACTTGTCACGATGCAACCGAGAGGTTTTATGGATGACCATATTGATTATTCGAATTTTTTGAATTTGAGTAATACTTAGCTTTTGAAGAAAGACGCTCTGAGCGCACTGTATGCCACTGCATACAAGGCAAGAGCTCTTCAAAACCGTGTCCAAAACACAACAAAAGAACCCTGTCTATACAGAAACTATAACTACGAAGTCAAAACGAAGTACTCGTCCACACACCTGCGAGTCCGAATGCTGGGAGAGGCGGTGGACAGACGGCCGCGGCGAGACTTCACTCCATTCCGGAACTCCATCGACGCCCGGACACAACTATGTCACGGGAGTTCGGTTCCGACTCAGAGCGGTCGCGTGCTCAATAGTGAACACATCGACTCTCACACACGACGACCCACACACCGCATGTGCACGCGCACACGGCTTAGAGCTCTCACTCGATTACTATATAAAGCCGGTGTCATATTTTGATATGAGTGAACAATTGCCACCGTCTCCAATCTTGACACGGTTCGATGGTGGCTTCTCTAGCAGAAAAGGCGCGTGTTGACACCGGCATTGTAAACGTTGCTCAGAAAGTCAGCTCTGCGACCAGTCAGAGCCATCGATCATCGAGATACGTTCATTTCACCCAGCTCCATAGACCGCTGCGCGTACACCTCACCAACATCCAAATCAATGTGCACAACTCTTCAAATAATATATTGAAGAATCATCGTAGTGAGAAATGAATTCCTCAAGAAAAAGAAATTCAATAAACAACAAACCAATGAGACAGGGCTCAGCGCTAACGTAGTTGGGAGGGGGCTCGCGGCGAGCGATGACTCATCTGCTCTTCTGCTCCCTCCTCGGCAAAATAGAAGTAATTTCGTGTTTAGGACATGAATATAACTTCGCCCTAGCTATATTCAAAAGTTAAAACAGTTAACACTGAAAAGTGCAAAGAAACAGTTTTAGGCTGCAAGGTTCTTGCCTAAACTACAAAATTTTGTTGTTTGTCGTTACTGTTACTGTTGACTACAAAAAAGGAATCAAATTTTTAGCTTCTGTGGAACTTTTCAGCAAGTTCTCGGTGAATCTTGTTTGTCTTTATTCTGATTTGGCTGCTACATTCGCGTTTCGAGTATGCCGATGAGTGAAGGGCCATGGGTCCGAGCCGCGTGGCCCCTCCCAAATACATTAGCACCCAGGGCTCCAATAAAATATAAGAATTAACATACCTAAACCACGGGCAGCAACATCCGTGGCAAGCATTATAGGTGTTTTACCGGCCTTGAACTCTGAAAACAGATAAGTTACAAACTGCCATGGACTTCGCCAAAGGCCTAAGAGCAACTTTCCCGCAACAACTTGTGTATTCTTGATAGAAGAGCCCAGTTAAGGCAACAACGTTAACGGTCGCAGTCGTTAATATTGATCGGCAGACGCTGCAGCCATTCACTGGCGATGTGCAGACGCCTCGCACTGAGGGCTCGTCTCGGAGATTTCAACTGTGTCACTGCTGGGTTCCCATTAACCAAAAAACCATGAAAGTTATAGTCTTTTCGCCATGAGGTGTAAAGAGGAGGGATAGGTCTGGCGCTTTGCCAAGACCGTTTTTCGCCAGTTTTAAAGCAACAAGGCCATGCCATATAGTGGCCCGGCAGTTTGTTGCCACAGCTGTTCCCGCTTGACCCCAGCTGTCAACGAACCGCACGGACGAAGTTGACAGCGCGCCCAAGCCCAGCCTCAGCTGACATCCACATCATCCGCAGTCATCACCTGCAAGTTTTTAAGATCCGCGCTAGAACTAACACTCCGTGTTATTGAACCATGTTCTTATAGCGTTCCTGTAGGTTCATGGTAGCAAGTCAGAAAGATCTATGTTGACTTCAATGACACTTCGCTTGCTGAACGCCGTCAACTCAGAGGAGCTGGCAAGTGAGTACTGAATGAGTTCCGCAGGGCAATTGCCGTCTTTAGCAAAACTAAGCCGCGTTCGTACCCAATGTCGCCGCTGTTCGGCTTGAGAGGTGAGGCATTCTACACCTTCATTAGTTCCTGTAGACTTGACATACTTCTCGCCTGGTGCGCCGCTATGAGCCTATTGATGGAACCCAGCCTTATCGCATAGCCTTTCACAAGAATTACGCAAGTTCTCGCACCGGAGACCCTGCCCTGATAAACGATTCCCAGCGAAGAATGTCTTCTCCCCCGACTTCACTTCCGGAAGCCGAGCTGCACCTACGACTTTGGACGAACCGGATGTTACGTAAATACACGAAGGGTAGCCGTGTAATTGCACACCGCAAGCGATTACCGTAACCCCAAAACTGTTTGCATTCGCCCATGGAGTGCAAATGAGGTGCTATAGGTTGGTCACTACGTAGGCAAATAATGACCAACATAGTGTACCTTAAATATTAAATGGATCCTACGCTATAATCGCTTCCAAGAAACCACTTCATGCTTCTTCCCTTTGTAGAAAACGGCGAAGTTTTGCGGTTTTCACTCGGCAGCTACGCACTAATGAAGAGTATTGTTTTTAACAAGTTGTCTGATCAGCCGTTTCACTGACATCGTAGGGTATCCTACTTGTCTTTCACCACCTGTATCGTTGCGCATTGTTTGTTCTTGGAGGGTTATACATGACTTTCATTGCAATCCATTTTGTATATTGAACTGAAGAAGGCATTTGAATTTTCCTCCGCTACTATGAGGTATCAGCGGCTGGAACAGACCTATCAGTCTACGGGGCCTTCCTCATCTTGCGAGGTCTCGATTTCCTCTGTGGTTCTCAGTTTGGATGCGATTTTTCCCTTTTGTAATGCGGGGTCTGATTCATGGCCAAACGTTCTTTCCACGCGGCTAAATCTCTGTCCCAGTGAAGAGAAAGATCACTACCGCAGACACCCATTCAGGGTGCTGCTTTGCTTCTCGCTCGGAAAGGAAGCCACCAACCTTTCGTTTCGAGCGAAAGGCAGCGTCAGCGGCTAGGGATCAAGATCTCAATGTAGCGAACGCCCGCGTCCACCGCCGTCTAGTCTAGGAGTCATGAATAGGGATATTGGAGACATAATGAAAATGCGTCGTGTGCGACCGCACCGTACAACTGCCAAAGCTTAGAATTAAGCTGGCTTGATGTAAGGTGTAGGGCAGCTTTGAGGTGCCGTAGCACGCACCGCAATATCGGATGCCCAACCAGCTGTGCTAACCTCCTGCCATAATCCCCACTCTTGGACCCTCTTGCGCGCTGGAGTTCGCTACTTCAAAGATAGCTAGTGTTCGCTGGCCACGTTGATGGAGCTAAGGTGAAGTGCCCCCTGGTGATTGGAATGAATGTGATTTCATGTTGACGAAGTCGAACTACGCCTGGAGACCTACTTTACACAAATCGAAGACGGAACTCCAACTTCGAAAACTGGGCAGTAAAGGATAAATTGTCCCAAAAATTGCAGAGTGACGAGAAGCATTGGTCATTTTTCGATCTACTCCCGAAATCCTGTACATCTTCAAACTGAATGCGATTAATTCCTTTCATCAATACTACAATTCTTTTTTCTTCAATTCGTCAATTCTTCTGATAAGAGACGGGAAGAGCCGTACCAGTTACCAAAGTAGAAGTAGTACGGAATGTTTAACTACGGAATGTTTCCTTGAAAGCTATCTTGATAAAGAACCCCTTAATACACGTAATGACCAACCTATCGCACCACAGTTGCACTCCATGGGCGAATGCAAACAGATTTGGGGTTACGGTAATCGCCTGATGTGTGCAATTACACGGCTACCCTTCGTGTATTTACGTAACATCGGACGAACCGCGGAAAAAGTGTAGCCGTATCGATTTGGAGAACAGGACGAACTGACGAATATTCATTCCATTCCCCCTGATTCCACGATTCCTTCCGATTGTACACTAATGATGCTGCAAACAACAGGGCTTTGAACGGGAGCACGGTCATGGCGGTCTGTTCATCAATGATGAAATCCTGAGTTCGCAAGAACCGGCGGGAAGGGCTATTCCTGGCTGCGACGCAACTCACGTACCTCCACACGCCCCATCATTTACTGTGATTATGACTACCTGTAGGCGACCATGGCAGCGACACTTTCCTAGTCGCACGCAGCCACGTGAAGGAGAGGACGATTTGTTGAGGAGATAAATCGACGGACTCACCACTCAAGACCCAATCACGTTCCCCTTGGTTTTTGTCTCCATGAATGCAAAGTGTGGGCCAACCATCTCGACGCATCCACCGAGTCAAATCATCCGCTTTACGTTTTGTTTCCACGAATATAATGGTTTTACATTCAGGCTGAAACAAACTACATAGCAACTATACATTTTGCAAATACGACATTTTCACAAACCTGATTCATTATATCATTGAGGAGTTGCATCATTCTAGCTTGTTTTGCATGTTCTTCTAATACATCTACAAATTGGGTGATGTTATGATTTGCAGCCAGTTCCATGGAACCGACATTGAGGAATGCTGCGTCTTTCTGGAAGTCCGATGCAAGGGCACGCACTTCCTTTGGCCATGTAGCTGAGAACATGAGAGTTTGACGATCAGGCTGAAACATTTCGTATGAATTTCGAAGGATTCAAAGCTTTGCAAAGCATCGGAGCGGCGCTGTTCGGCAACGGGGGAGGGGATTTCTGCTCTTTCGCTGCTTCACTAGTTTCGGTTCACAAGTCTCATTCTGATGAAACCTGTAACGCTTGTGAAGCTGCAGAATTGGTGAGGCTGCGTTCATACTTTGCGTCAGCGTCTAACAGCACCTAGTAAGGTATAAATATCGACCCACTAGGCAGCGTCTCGAGGAACGAGGGAAATACAGCTATCAATCTAGCTAATGTCAGCGTCCACCAACGTTTGTCAGCGCACAGTAGCGTCCAGGAAGGACCACGCCGTACAACTACACTACACGGTAAATAAAGATTGTACTATTCTGCTTTAGCACTTCCCTAGTCCCCCAAGACGCTGGCGTTCGACCCATATCTATGCTTTCTGCTGACGCTAAGTATGAACGTAGCCTGAATGATTTTGTATTGTATTTCATTGCTTCATAAAAACTGACAAGATGGTTTCTACAAACTTTACCTGGTACCATTTTGCAGCTTCATGAGATTCCACGGGTCTCACCTGAGGGTTCAACACGTTCATGGGAAGTAGCAAAAGTGCAAAATACCCAATCTCCCCCCCCCCCCCCTCCTGCGTCGCCGAACTGCGTCTGGGTCAGCCATCGTAGCAACTCACCCTAATTTGTCCTATTATCTTCCGAATTTGGGGTTCAAAACCCATATCAAGCATCCTATATTCAGCTTTCGTCAAGACATCTAAATAAGAGGCACCGCTTACCAATATTTGTGGTGTTATTATCCAGAAAATCTAACAATCTTCCTGGGGTGGCGACTGCTACATCAACACCACGTTCAAGATCACGAGCTTGGGGTGCCTTAGAAGCACCACCAAACAGACACGTCATTTTCAATCCAAGGGCGGTGCAGAAGTCAACCGAAACCTGAAAACTCGTCCATTCCTCTGAGAAATATAGAAACTCATTGAATATAATGCTACCTCTTGCACTTGCTGGGCGAGCTCTCTAGTTGGCAATAACACAAGTACCGATGGTCCCTCATTACGACCTCGTGGTGCCTGTTTGGTAGTGTGGATGAGTCCAGGCAACATGAACTATTTACTAAAGAACCAATTTCTTCTTTCGCCGAATATGCTCACACTGGAGATGATGAGGAATCTCACCGCTAATGTTTTCCCGGAACCAGTTTTGGCGATGGAAATTATGTCACGACCACTCATTGCAATTGGCCACGATATTGATTGGATGACGGTTGGTTTTTGGAATTTGGCGTACAACAGGTCGACAAGCTCGTTAGGAAATGAAGCTTCGCTAAATTCCCATACGGGCCGCGGAATTGAACGTCCATCGACGGTGACTTGGTTTTCAGTAATCCACTGATCGATTTCATACTAAAAATAAATTTTTAAGGTCCACGCTTTTCAAACACGTTTTTCTGTACCCAGTAACCACAGCACGCATACGATGCCTCTAGGGGACCAGCTGCATTTTCAGCGGCCATGGTAGCTTGTTAAATTTTGGAAGTTCGCTTTCTCATTAAAAACTGCAGATTTGTATAACAGCTACACATTGCCGGAGATTTTCAAGCTACTCCTTCCCAGGGCCCAGCTACGCGATTACTTTAACTTTTCTGTGTGGTCCTCTTGAAAAACCATAGAGCACAACCGAAAGGGTTAGCGGTGGGCGCCATTCTTTCGTACAGATGCGGCTGTGTGCCGTTGCGAACTTTGCGGAGCTACAGTAACCTCGCACCTAGTTCCATTATTCGTTGGGGACGTAGCACCTTATTGAGTTTTGGTGATTATATTAAAGTGTGACATCTATGAGTATCTTTTAGTCCTAGACTCTTCCTGTGCAGTAGCCTCGTGGGCATTTTCGAGGAAGGAAGCGATATCATCGACCGAAAACCTCTAATTACGCATAAAGTACTCCCATGGTTTCTCCAAATTCGCGTAATTCACATACGCATGAAGGGATCAAACGCATTACGAAGTAAAAAAAATAAGGGAAGCAAGTAAAATCTTAGTAAACTAATTTCTTCCAAGCATAACAGTGGTTCCCTCTACAGAGGTCCCCTTGAAAAAAGTTACATAAAATGTAGTAAACCATAGAGTTATGAGTGAGTATACATTCAGTACTCCCAACCCAAGGATGCTCCCACGGTTTCTCCACGCTCCATATTGTTTGGGGAGCGTGGCAAACTCCGATTTATAAAGCCGCACGCTTTCGCCTCTCGCCGAAATCATAAAAGTCTGGCACTCGTCAAATCGCTGGTCTAGGAAGTGAGTCGAGCAGAACTGTAGTAAAAAACCACAGTATACACGACATGTTTACCTTCCCAAGAAAAGATACACCGTTTCCGTGTGATGGTGACCAGTCCCCTCGGCAGACTTGCAGGGCTTCTCATTGTTTGCGCCCCTGACTTTCGTAACTCGAAAATTTTTGTCGAGGTTATGTCATTTGCTGTATCATGAAGAGCTCTCTTATTCCAGTCTGCTCCACAAAAATAAAGCAAGCTGCCACATCAATCATTGGACTATGCGCCGCAATCCGCAGTTATGTACACGTATCTAATCACATTAACCGCCCTATCTTTTCGCATTTATCATTAACAGGAATCAACATAGAGTCCGCTATCTGCGCCCTTTGTGGCTTGACCTGTTTGCGGTAACGTGACGGAAGGGGAAGCTATCTGAAAAATCTGTATCCCCCTCCGCTCGAATATAGACGCATCTACGAAGTCTCTCCTCGACATTGAATAAAAGGCGTAAGGTTACTGTAGCCCCGCAGTGTACGCAATGGCCACACTGCCGCATCTGTTACGAAAAGAATGCGCGCCGTTAGGCGGTCGCAACAGTGCAGAAAAAAAAGGTGCAGGAACCGATCAAATGCAGTCATAAAGGTCATAGAAAAGTCCCCAGTCCATGAATTAGTGTCACAGCAACCCGAGTTCTCACCGGAGCGAGAACATACTCAGCGGATAGTTTTTTACACTGCGCCTCCTATCCTATTTCCTAATCAAGACTTAGACTCAGTATAGACAAAATCTTCTCTGCAAGTTACCCCTCGGCTTTGTGCTCCAAGATTCTTTGGGGAAAGGCTACAGGAATACGGCCGAGTGATCCCCCACTCATGTTAGCGCCATGAAAGCAAAAACTTCTCCCTTTAGTACACATCAAGACTTTTATCTTGGAGGACACTAACTCAATACCCCGCCAGAGTGGTAACCATAGCACAAAACTTGTGGACTGCAGGGCTTCGTCCGTGTCACAGAATTCTGTCCAACGTCCGTAGACCCCCGAGGCACGTAGCGCCACAAATGGCAAATTTGAACATTTTTACAATTTAACACTACCTGTTCTCTCCTAGAAACTGTCGCGTGCTCGTGGTAGAAATCCTTCTGAATGGGCTTCAGGTTTTCCTTACTCCAATCTATGTCACGAAGTCGGCCGCCTGCATTTCCTTGACTGCCTCCTCCGCCACCTCCACCACGGCCGCCACCGCCGTACCCGCGTCCTCCTCCTCCATAGCCACCACCGCCATATCCGCCGCCTTAAAAGAATTAAGGATTATCACTGACCATATTATCGACTCTCGTGCAAGAAAATCCGCATTATACAACTATTACTACCCCAAACCTCGGTGACCTGACCACAAATGTGACATTTATTAGCCCTTCAATTTGGCGCTGAACCACTTTTCATCAAAATCAGTAGAACTTGCAAAGCTGGGTTGATCGAGCCCCTGACCACCTGAATATGGCACCATTTTTCGACACCAGCGCAATTTAGCGCTCTGCTCAGGCTGACCCTAGGAGAAAAAGTGATTCCCTTGAGGCCAGGCTCAGTCGCGGACGCCAGGCAGTTTCAGGCCAAGTGAAATGACATTCATGTCATTTTACGAGGTCGAACTACTCCTGGGAACAAACTCCCAGCCGAGTCTGCCCTAGCAGAAAATAAGTTGGTAAAAAACTGGCCTGATTCCGGTAGATTGGGGCAGTAATAGTTAATAGTGCCCATTATTTCTGTGCAAGAAAATCGAGAAAAACAAGCCTCCTCGGCTATCGTAACCACCCCTATCGTAGTTTCCGCGACCGCCGCCGCCGCCTGCACCACGGCCGCCGCCGCCACCACCACCACGGCCTCCTCCTCCTCGGCTTCCGCCTCCATATCTGTCACTGAAAAAATATTTTTAAGGATAATGAGAAGCATCTGTCGTTGCTATAAAATATGAGAATAGCTGAAAACCGTCTATGAAAACAAAGAAAACAAGAAAATGAAACTTACTACTGGTTATCTCTCATTTTTGCAGTGTGATGTATTTGGAATGCTTTCTTCTGATCAAGGAGCGGAAGATTTGTTTGACGAGTGTAACGATCGGGATTCGACTTCGATCCGCTACTTGTTGGTGCTCGAGCAGAGGCTGTGCAGAAAATTCGTGTTGAACTGAGTCCTTTGTCAGCAATAGCAAGTCGTGATAGCCCGTAACGAAGTGAAGTGAAAAGCATAAACCTTAAGGATGAACAAAGCTGTACCACCACAAGAACCCCAATGAAAAAAAAATGACACCGCCCGTCTACGATGACACGGCCTAAAACGATGAGGACCGCTACGCGTCAGCACGATCGATACGCCGCCGACCGTCTTCGCGTCGGGACCAGCATGCGCTGCGCCGGCGGCGGTCCTTCGCAGCGGCCGCGCTGCACAGCACATCCGTTTCCCCTGCTAATGAAGGTTGCTAGGCTAGTGTGACGAGCAGATTGGTTGTTTATCAGGAAAGGCGGCTTAGCAGGATAGTGATCGCAGGGATGAAGCCGATATTGGCTGTGAAAACCCCTGAAGAAGAGCTGACTCATGTTTTTTGCGCGTT